AGACATGAAAATATTACAACTAAATATTAACCACTGTAAAGCTTCTCAAAACCTTCTGTGGTAAATAGTAACCGAAAATAATATGGATGTAGCTTTAATATCGGAACTATACGATAATATTGAGTCACAAAACTGGATGGGAGATTCAAAAAGACAAGCAGGGGTTTAGACAGAAGGTGGAAACATTCCCCATAGTAATATGCCAATACTAGGCAAAGGGTACACATGGACGATGATGAAGGTCTCTATCAGGTGAGTTGCTATGCTGCACCAAGATGGTCTATAAAAGATTTTGATTTTCGTTGAGAAGCATATACATCATGAAATGTAAAACCTGACTGCTGGATAACAAAAAAAAAGAGAAAGATTGCACTCAAAATGGATGGTTAATGTGACAAATTATGACATAGAAACTATCAACATCAAGTACGTAACCGTAAGGGACAGAATTAAGAAAATTGGAATTAAGTTATGCATAACATGAGAGGAGAAAATTGCTGTACTCAACTCTCCGCGAGTAGAGCCTATGCCCGTGCTCTTCGGGCATAGGCTTGCAGTAAAGTAATCTGTTTGACTATATTTTTGTAAAGCTTCTCCAATATCTAAGTAAGTGTGGTCTAACCATAATGTGGTGTTCGTTTCTGTTTTATCGGGCAAAGTAAAGGTTAATGCTATGATTATAAATTCTTCAGACAATGATTCGGAGTTTATGTTTGGTGAGTATAAACCAACCAAATTCACGGATGAAGAGTTGGAGAATTCCGATAACGCGACCGTCACAGATTCCTCATATAAAATTGATTCATATGCAAACTTGCATAAGAGTAAGTATCAGAAAACAATTCAGTCAACTGCGGATGCCAATAAAATTATTCTCAGTTTTGGTTCCTTATGATATTATTAAAAATATCACATTTTATATTGAAAATCGTTTTGAAGAAAAATTTAGCTGTAATGTCTACTCATTACTACAAAGTTTAAAAGAAAAAGCCCACAATATTTTCGTAATTTCGAAAATCTGCAGGATATTGAGAGTAGTTAGGATATGAAAACTAAAAACTTTTAGCATAAAATTTTAAATTAAATTTCGTTTATATTTTTTTGATAAGTAACAAAAACACTGCAACAGCCTTCGAGCACTGTTTGGACTTAAAAATAATGCAGAACTCGAAATTCTTTGAAGTTGGATAAAAATCACTTTTAATGTGAATGAGAAAGCATAGGAGAAGTTTGTGGAGTTTCGAGCAATATAATTTTATCGGCGATGTTTATATATGAATGGAATCATACCTAAATATTAGAAAATTACTTAATCAATTACAAATGATACAAATATAAGATAACGTATCCTTCATATCAGAACCGCTACCCGTATACCCAAACTACTTTTAAAATGTCATTACTGCTAAAATATTCAGAAAATTTGTCATAAAATTTTGGACATAAGAAGCTAAGGTATTACTTAACATTTAACGATACGTATTTATTTGGTCCATAAAAGGTATTATCTTAAATTTAAAGCCAATACTTTTTATAACCGAGTTCAACATAACTATGTTCGTTATGAAACGCAAAATAATATACAAATAAGGTGAATTAAGGTTTATTAACGTGTAATTAAAATAAGTGGTTTACTTTATTATTTGCTTAAATTGTAAACTTAACTATTCAACTAACACCGCGTTATCAAAACTTAGAATCAACTATTCTAAGCTCTTCGGGAAGGTATGCAGATCTGAGGTCAGTTATTGCTTAGTATGAAGAAGTGATAAACAATTTCCAGTGGAGGCGTAGAGAGGGGTTATGAAGAAAACTTGCAGTTAATAGAGAGTAAAAGTACTCAATTGCACTAACTCAACCAGCCTCAAGATAATAATATTCAACTTCGCATTAGTAGTCATAGCCAGTTAAATTATAATTATAATTTTCATAATTATATATATTTGCTAATTGAGTCAACTCTCTAGAATCTAACAGTTAGTTGTAAAGTCTTACCCTAATGTAAGCCATAATTATTTTGTACATATTTGATGCATTCTTGGTAATGTAAATGTGAAACCTTAATAGAAGGTTGACAGACCCAAAGGTACGAACTGCTGGAGACAATACATTGAGTTTGTGTAAATGTAAAGAAGAAGTTCTTTTTAACAATCAATTTCAACAATAATCAATGGAATATATAAATTTTTGTACTCATATATATTTAATGTATTTATATATACGTATGTAATGTGATTACAAAATTTATAATTAGACCTGCTCAATTATTTTAATATTACTTGTACATACATTTCTACATTTCATTTCCCATTTCAATTCCCTAAAAATAAATCAGTTTACTAATGTTTTTGCTCTGAAAGCCTCACATTCTTAAATCAAATGAATTATTATAAAAAGAACTTTGGTTGTTGTAGTTCAGTACTCTTCGAAGCATCTCTATGAATTATTATAGATAAAATATTTGTTTATTATACGTATTGTTAACTATTTGGGTTCTTTCATTATTTGTATTGCTTCTGTAGACAATTCTAGAGTCAGTTTCATTTTATTTTAAAATAATATGGTGAATAGCTGACTTCATTGAACATTTTTTTTAAAATGATTTTTAAACATACTTGAAGTAGTTAAATTAAGCACTTTATCTACACCACTAGCTTCAAAATATTAAATTTATTTAAATATGCATTAGGAGTATTAAGACGTAATTCGCATATCGCTGAAGTGATACAGGGGCCAAACACATATTTTCAGTTCTTTCTCGGTCAATTTTTAAAAGTGCTAAATAAAAAAGCTCAAAAATTAAAATTATTGTAATTTCACAATAAGAAATTTACGCACAATTTTATGACTTTACCGAATCACAATGCAGTATTTTCACCGGCTAATTCATCATTTTTTTATTTTTGTTAAAAATAAAAATCAAGAATAAAACAACGAATTATTTTATAATAATTTTTATTTAATCGATATTTTTACTTTAGTCTAAAGTCATCATCAGGAAACTACTGAATTTGGTAACTCGACTTTACCGAATTATCGAGCACTTCTGAATGCCCCTAATATTAACTGAAATTTTTTCAATTGTTTAGATTACATTAAATTTTTACATTTGTACAATAAATATATTTTTATTTCTTTAAAAAAAACTGTTAAAGTTTTTACATTGTAGAAATCTGAAATGAAAAGCTTATCCACGGT